GAGAAGTGGCTTCCTACACATTTGAACCTCTAGCTTTGACAGCATGGGTGTAAGCTGGCAGTTTTTCATCAATATTCAGACCTTAGGAAGTGGAATCTCAATTTGTTTGTCTACAGATAGCTTCTTTAGTTTTTACTCTCCTTCCATCTATCTTCCTTTCTACTCTCTCCCTCTTGTGTGGCCAAGACACTACAGAAAGAAAGAACTGAACTCCTTTGTCACATACTTGGGGTGGGTTGAGCCTTCTGCTAACAGAGGCAATCTGCAGGATGTGGAGGCAGAGATGCTGTGTAAATCTGTACATGATCTTCGCAGTGTGGTGCTCATGAGTATTCCTGGGAAGGGTAGCACCTGGGCCAATCAATGAGCAGGATGTGCCACAGGCGGTGAGATCTCGTTACCTGCCTAGACAAAGATAGGCTTCTTTGCCTGGGAATGATGCCAAGGCAGGGGATGATGGAAGGGGACTGGGGACCTGCCAAGCCTGGAGGGTGTGTTCCTGGCCCAGGACAGAAGACAGCTGTGATGGGACAAAAGCAGACTGGGCTTGTGGACTTTTATTCCATTTTGCCCAAATTAGAACAGGTGGGCTCACACAGAGAGACAGGCCCTGGGAATGCAGGCTGAAAACTGCAGGCTCAATAAATAGGCAGCTCTGTGTTTGCCGGCCTTGTCATTAGGAAGACAGGCCCATAGGCAGGGCCAGGGGCTGCAGAAGAGTGCAAAATGGGGACCTCTCCTTACCCCTGGGCTGGCAGGTATGCACTCTGTCACATTCACTAGTGCAGAGGGAGGGACAGCAGAAGGATTTAAATGATGCATCATCTCTTCAGCATCCCACAGCCCTCCTGTGACCTCCATGGTACAAAAGCTCTTTCAGTGACATGGGCACCTGTTTGCAGACGCCCTGTCCTTAGGCTTCTTCTTCCTTTGGCGTTTTCTCTATGGCACTCTCTCACCCTCTTGCTCTTTTTGTCAGTCTCTATAATACACACACACACACACACACACACACACACACACACACACACACACACTCACTCACTACCACCACCACCACCATCATCTTACTCCCTACAACCATAGGAAAGGCTGTCAAAAATGACTATGAAAACAGACTCAGCCCTGTTTTATGCTTTGCCATAGACTTCATGAAGATCACTATTTCAGGAAGATCAAGTGGGTGGTCCTTGCCCACCCACTTAGCAAGGGCCACTTTCACTTAGCATAGAGTCTTGTCCAGCATGGAAGCCTGACAAATGTGCTGACACCATCATTGCATCAAAGGCCTGGTCCCAGCTGGGTTGTGGTGACTCACACCTGTAATCCTAGCATTTGGGAGGCAGAGGCAGACAGATCTCTGAGAGTTTGAGGCTAGCTACAGCACAAATACAGAACAGCCAAAACTACACAGAGAAACCCTGTCTTTAGGTTGGGGGGAAGGCCTGGTCCCCTAGAAAGTTCAGCTCAGAGACAATACAACTTGGTCATTTTGCATCCCTGAGCTTAGCATCATGTCCAGCATAGAAATTAACTCTGTTTACCTTGCCCTTCCCTTTCTTATGCTTTGCCCATGTCCTTTCTGTTGTTTCTCTAAATCATGCATGTCCATAATGTGCCCACTGGAAAGGACAGGCCAGTGCAGGGCAGGAGGAGAAACTTCTGTGTTTGACTTGAACCAAGACCCATAGATAGCACTGACTAGGATGAAAGAACCTTCTAGATGGAGGCAGCGATGTCTACCTGGGATACCTGAGTTTGTATATGTTAAAGTTTTTCAGACAGAACTCTCTGGTTCCATGCATTTTATCCTATACAAGTTTAAAATTGTATTTTGATGGAAGGCATCCTAGAAAGCCAAGAACCTACCCTTGTTCACCCACCTTGTGCCGGAGCTACTTTTAGTCATTAACTCTGAGAGGCCAGGGGAAGGACCTGATGAGTAGTTAGTTCAGTGATCAGACAGTATAGGCTGTGCGAACTGAGACCTCATGGGCTGTGTCCAACTACAGAGATTACCAGACACCCTGGGCACTGTTCCAGTGTCACTGTATGCCTGCCATCATGTTCAGGAGCTTCACTAGCAGCTGAATGTTATGGAGAACAGTACCCAAAGCTGCAGAGAGCCCTGAACTCATACTGCAGCAGCCTTTATTTCCCCCATCACATCCTCAAGTTGGCACCATGACAAGCCACGGTGCTTCTTCCTTACTGTAGATGCCAAGTGTCTTCCAGACAGTGTTATGTATGGTCAACGCTCAATATTTGAAGATTCTATATTTCAAATTCAGCTAATTGCTACCATTTATTAGTGGCTCCCAAGCTTGTTTTCATGGCATTTTTGATGTCATCTATGTCCATATGCAGACTGGGAATGGCTTGAGTCACATGGTCCCAGATAGGGTAGAAAGAAATGACATTCTGCTAACTTGTTTCAGTTCATTAGAAATGTGAATCAGTTGTACTTACAGCCTCACAGGTTTCCAAGACAGGATACCTAAACTGCACTAATTTCAGCAATCATTACAAACTCCCCGATCGTACCTACATAGTAGCTCTCAACTGTGGTTTCTTGGGCACAGAGAGGCCCCAGAAGCAGCAGCTCAGTGCTGGAAGGCAGACAATAAAACCCTTATACAGTCCCTGTTCTCTGGGAGCCAGTGCTTAGGAAGGGCTGATATCTAATATGCAAACTGCGATGAGATATGACGCCAGGCTAAAGAAGGTAAGGGAAAGCAGCGGGAACATCTGCTGGTTAAGCAAAGACAGCTTGAAACTGTGACATCCTTGGGGACTCAGGCACACCATTCAAGGACCATTTAGAAAATCACTGGAGTTGACCAAAGTACAAGAAGAAGGACACTCAGCAATTGCTGTATTCTATGAGATCACTGACTACTCTACCTGATGTGCCAGTGTTCAACTAACCACAAAGCATCTTGCCCAAGTGCTTGCCTTCAACATTCATCTATAGTTCAGTGAAGTAGGCAAACCATGCATCCCCCTTTCCAGGCTACAAAGTGCGTGTGTGGGATGCTGGGCATATTTGGATTTAAATCCCATGTCAGACACCATAGTCATGTCCATGGCTGTTTCCTTTATGGCAAGCGGAGACTGGAGCTGCTACCTTTCCTGTGTGGTGGCCTGCTTTATGAAGACCCTGACTATCCTTTGGCTTTAGTTTACCTTTGTTTTCTACCATAGGGAGTCAGGTATTATGCTATACAAGGGAAAACTAAGGCCATTCAAAAAGTAGTACATGGCATTTTTCTTCTTAGACCTGCTAAACCCAGATGTGTTGCTGGGTGGTAAGGCACTCTAGCCCCTCGCAATCTTCCTAAAGTCTCAGTGGCCTGAATTCTCACTGAGATCAGTGTCCCATGGGGCTGGAATAGATAGCATCATGACACAAACTAACAGGGACAGCGAAACCTGTGATTTGGTCCTGAGGGATTTCAGGGAGGTGCCAGCTTTTCTGATTGCCCCAGTGACACTTGTTGTATATGCTATGACTACTAAGGCATGCTCTACAAAACAGTAGGCTAGGTGGCTTCTAAGTCCCCAAGGAAGGCGTTAGGTTGAGAAAGCATTCATTCCTTTTCTGAGAGATACTGCCATGCAGGACAAAGAAATGTATCTCCTTCTCCCTTACAAGTTAAGCATCCCCTCTTTTGGCTTGATACAAGCTGGTATACATTCTAAATGCACTTCTCCACCCTCCTTTGTGGGAGGGAATCCTGGGCTCCATTGCACAATTATTGATGACCTTGAAGTACACTTGAGCACAGCTTCCAATCTGCTCTGAGTTGTGTGTATTTCAGCATGTGTCTCAGTGGTTCTCAAATTCTTTTTGCTATAATACACCTAACAGATTTCAGGCCTTTTCTTAAGGGACTCAAGTCCTCATTATGTCCAACACCCAGAAATAGGGAAGTTGGCTGTTCTCTTGGAAAGACTGTATAAGAAAATAGAGTGTTTTTAATTGTCAGAATCTAAGAGAGTGTTTACTGCCTTTGAAAGAGGAGAAAGACAAGATCTCACCTCCAATTTCTTATACTTTAAAATGCCTGAAAATTACAATAAATGTCATTGGTACCAAGTAAATCAGGCTGTTAATGGGAAGACTAAAATCTTATTTTATAATGTGTGTGGTTAGTTCAGAGCATATCAGGTTTCAGGGGGCCAAAGGAATCAGCTGTAGTTAAAGTAAGACCAAATTTCATTGGAATGGGGTCTAACTCTGGTGGGTATTCTAGGAAGGGAGAAGAAAAAAATCTTGGGACTAGAGAAATGACTCAGTGGGTAAGTGCTCTTCCAGAAGGCCCAGGTTGAATTCCCAGAGCTCACAAGGCAGCTCGCAACCATCTGCAGCTCGAGTTCTGGGGGATCTGAACCGTTCTCTGGGCCTCTGTGAGCACCAAGCACACACATAGTGCACAGACACTGTTCATGCAGGCCAAACACTGATACACGTCAGAGAAAAATTAATTACACCTTTAAAATGATCTTGAGATCTCCCCTGGCTAGTTGTCTGCCACTCTCAGTTCACTAAGTTACTATTTGCTTCCACTTTAATGTGACTGTCCTCTCCCCTCTTCTGGAGAATAAATGGAATCCCCCTGCTCCCCATTGGAAGCACAAGGGGGAAAAGACCTGTGTCATGGGGAGGGGAGATGCTCTGCTGAAAAGTCAAGCAAACTGAGGTTGGACAAGTCCAGGAGTCTGTCTTCCTGTGGCTCTTCAGGGTGTCATTGCCAGGGTGACTGCCATATTCTGACCTGTCATCATTCTATGGTGCTATTGCCTTATACGTCTTAGTGGAACTGGATAAGTTAAAGTGAACCCAGAAAGAACAGAAGAGCAATAAAGCTTTCAAAGGGTAGACTGAAGGAAGGGTGAGGATGAGAAGTGTGCACAGGGAGTGAATGGAAGCACAGAGAGGAGGCTGAGAGCGGCTGTAGGGAAACAGGAGACAGCAGAGAGCGGCCAATGGTACTCACGTGTTGTGGAGAACACACCAGCCACAATGGGGGTCGCCTGAGCCAAGACACTCGCCACAGCTCCGATACTGCCCACAGGACTCCACAGGAACTCTGGTAAGCTAGAACAGCACAATGAAGACCAAGCTGTCAGTCAAGAATCTTCAGAACACCTAATGGTCCACAGTTAAAATTGTCAGCCTAAGTGAAATCGTATTACCCAAGACATCAGAGGAGTATGGGGCTGCTTAGAGCCCCAGAACCACAGAGAATTTTGAGGGGCCATATTGGAGTAGGTGGCTGCACAGCATCCGAAGATACAGCCACATACTAACATGTATCTGGAAATCAGACCATATTGGCTTCCTATAAAATATCATAAAGGAGACTACACGTTACACATTTAAATTTTCCTATTACACCCCCCCAATATTTATACAAATACTCAATCCATTACATATTTGTTTCCTATCAAAGTAATAAGGCCAAATGTTCATTCTTTTTCCATCTTGTTTTACTTTCCCTCACCTCCTTTCCTTAGGTCTCAGCACTTTTGTTTTTCCAGAGAGAACTTAACCCCCACCCAGCACCCTTCTCTCTTCCTCTTCCTCACTGTTTAACAAGGTGCCTGATCTACCCTGTGGCTGTCTTCTACCAGCTCCTGCTTCATACTGTTGACCAACTTGCTCCAAAAATTGATTTCACTGCAGTGCTTTCAAAGATCAGCCTTGCTATTTCCCCCTACCCACACCCTTTTCATGATTTGAGGCTTCCTCTCCAGCCCAGAGACTTTACATTCGCTTCCAGCAGCAGCTTGTTAACATAAAATGTTCCACATGACATTTTCACTTAGCCCAAATGCCTCCATTTCCTGCATGCTTTTAAATATCGTTTGAATTTCTTTGTTCTCCAAGGCAGCCTTGATGTCGCCTTACATGATGCCCAAGTACCAGCTACACTGTGCATATTTAAAGATGACACTCAGGATCAAATGGAATTTTTATTTTCTTTTTATAGCCTTGCTCTTTATTTTCTATTTTGCCAGTTTCTTCTATACAAAAAGTTTTATATTTTTTTCATTTTTGGGTATTTTATATATCTACTTTTTATCTCAATGGAGGACTTCTTGCCTGGTCTTTCTAGCCAGGGCAACTAGCTATGGTCACCATCAGAACCAGGACAGTAAATTGTGCATGCTGACCTGGCTAAACAGTCTCTGCTTGCAAGAGAGGATAGAGGCTGTGTTTCCCCTGCTGTTCCATAAAGCATCTGTGCTGTAAAATTATGTCCACTTGGCAGGGGTTACTTGTAACTCACACACAGGCAAACTGGCACCAGAGCCTGCTCAATTAGTCTCCACACTCTTTTGGAATTAATTAATAATTAATTCCAAGTCCCACCATGGGCTCCTTTGCCTTAATTTCCTCATTTCCTTTATCTATCTTTTTGTAGCTACCTCCACCCATTCTTGCAGCTTTGCCCTTGGCTTTTATGGCTTGTTCTTAATGCCTTGGTTTTGCATTTGGAATTTTCTATAAAAACTTTTATTATTTATTTATTTGTTTGTGTGTTTGTGCATGCACAGTTGTACACATGTGGAGTTCAGGACCAACTTGCAAATATTCACTTTCTCCTACTACCATGTGGATTCTAGAGACAGAGCTCTGGCTAGCAGGCTCGGGGACAAGCATCAGCACCCACTAAGTCTCCTCTCTGGTTCCTGGAACTTTATCTGACTTTCTGTCATTGTCCAGGTGATTTCCCCCATGACAGCAATGTCTTCATAATTAACTTTGATGATCAGAGTTTTTGTTTGTTTGTTTTATTAATTACCCTGCTGGCTCTGCAGGCAGCTAGGAATTGAGCTTATTCCTGGTGCCGCTTTAATTTTTCTGTCGCTCCTTAAACAAATACCTTCTAGTCACGTAAATATATGCATAATAGTGTCCAACCCAGAGGATCCTGACTCCTAGGAATTCCGGAGTAGGAATAAGATTCACAAGCTATTTTCAGTGTTTCCAAAAGCCCACTGGAAACTGGATTGTTGTTATTTTATGTGTTTATGCATGCTCATGTGTGTCCCATATTAACATGGGAAATATATTATTACTTAATAAATGCAGTTTGTTTAGTAGACAGAATCTTTCAAAATGTGACTCCCCTAGGGGAAAAATAATAAAAAGGGCTATAGATGGTGAAAGTTGGGAACCATAAGTACATAATCATGTTTTTATGGCTTCCAGCTGCCTGTCTGGCACTCCATATTTTGCATGGGCTTAAAGAAAAAATATCATGGCTTTCTCAATCAAAAGCATTTTCTTGGTCTAAACTTAATTAACACTCTTTCCAGTTTCTCCTATGGACATGTTCAAAAATCTGTCTTGCATGGAATATACCCTGGAATTCCAGAGTGAACCCTGGGCTCTAGGGTATGCCCTGCAGTTCTGGAATATACCCTGAGATGTTGGGCTGTGTCCTGGGATTTTGAAATGTTAGCTTAAATTCTGGGGTATGGGTATGGCCCAGAGCTCCAGGGTGTGCTGTAGGGTTCTGAAGTGTGGCCTGTGATTTCAGAGTGTTGGTGATCTCTGGAGTTCTAGAGTATGGCACTTTGAGTAAAGAACCAGCCACTGGGTGAGTCAGATAACTCAGGAATCTTTGCATTCTAAAAATAACTTGGAACTGGTGTTTACCAATGTCAGTAGTCCAGAGTTATAAAATCCTTCCTCTCTTGATTTGAAACAGCTGTCATTTTCTGTTTGGTTGGAAAGGATGTTGGAGCCTGCAGAGGGAGGTTCAAAGCATCCTTGCCTGCTACTAGCAGTAAGACCCTATTGTCTCTGGGACTTGTATTTCCTGTCCTTAAACATGGAGCTAAACCCTATTCCCAATGTACCTATTCCTGAAGCACATGACCATGAAACTGGTTTATAACTGGTCAAGGGCCAAACATTTTTCAGGTGATGTTTATGATTTCCACAGGCTTTCCCTTGGGCATTCCATTCCCTGTTGCTCATTCCACTGACCCCTCGCCCAAGTCATAGAGATGTGCTCTGAGCCTTCCTAGGTCTGGTGAGCTACATCACAAGTTAATAGACCTGGAAGGGACTAATAGTCCTTAGTCCTTTCACTGTGTCATTTCCTCTTCAAGTGTGACATCAGCCCCTAAGCCATTTACCATTCCACTCTTCTGATGGGGCTCTGAAGTTACCTAAGCTTTTGGACTAATTCGGACCTTTTTCAGCTTCCAAGTCCACTCCATGATGTCCTTGCATCTCAACTAAGCATCTGTATGGAATACGACATGTATCTCCAACAGTTGAAAAGCTAAGTCTTAGCTCCCCACTCTCCAGCTGAACTTGAACAATTCTCTCTGGGTTTCTTTTCAATCATCTATAAAATAAGCATCCAGAAGGCTTCATCCTAGAATTCCTTTTGGATCTGACATTCCATCTCCTTATAAATGTCCAGACTAAACCACACCCATATCAGTCTGTCTCTCTTGTTTGGATTTCATGGACATGTGTAAACATGATATTGAGGACTTTCAAGAAAACACACCCCAAGGATAATCATCTGGGAATCTACAGGTTTCTTCTTGAAGGGCCAACATCAGAGATCTTTACCTTCCTTAGAGGTCAGTCCCACTAGGCACCATGTTATTTTTACTACTTGCTTGTGAGGTTGATCTAACTATTCCCAATCTTTTAAAGCATGGATGCTAAAATCAAGGGAATTCTAATAGATCAAAGAAAACAGTTATCATTTGAGGGATTGATGTCACCTTTCTCCTCTTTGCAGGGTCTCCCTGGGGAAGGGGAGGGGCCAGGTACTCCCAGAAGTCCTACTCCCAGCTCTCAGGTCACTTGCTTTCTAGCATGGCCTAGTGCTTTTGCTGTGGCTCCATCTTCTCTAGCTACAATATTGCTTTCCTATAGACAATTCTAGAATGAATGTGTCAGTTTTCCTGAATCACTTTTTCAAACTGAAATTAGTGCAGCCAAATCAGTTACAAAATATATACCCTAAAGTCCTGGGTCCTTTTCACACCTTGCTACTATGTTGCAAAGGTGGCCAGATGGCTCTTAGCCACCTTGCTGCTCTGATTCCTCTCTCTCCCCCAGTATCTGGATTCTCTACCTACACTGGACACCAAACAAAGCTGCCTCTCCACACCCCTCCCCACCTTGGTTCCTTTCCTGACCCTGAAACATAAACCACTCCAGATGCAGAGCCACACAATTAATTAAAAGCACCCCACAATGATTAAAGTCTTAGGCTACAGTGCCAGGCATGCTAATGTACCAAGTGAGGGAATTCAGACCCCAGGAAGAGGTGAAACAAAAGAAGTCTGTATTAGGGGGCTGACTTCTGTTGGGAGAACAAATCAGATGACAATGTGACCTAAGCTATCATAATGACAGATGGTGTTAGAGACCACAGAAGATTGAAGTCCCTCCCCTGGCCACTGCACTCCAGGAGAGGTTGCTGATTGATGTGGCTACAATGTAGCCTTTAGTGTTTCCTGAGAGGGAGCCCTACGCCTTCTCAGGACCACCTATAATTACAGCAGAGGGAGAATGTAGCTCCTAGAACAAGATTGAGGTCAGATTTGCCCAGAGTTGCTTGGCGCACTGTCCCTGCCTTTGTATAGAAATTTACCAGGTAGTGAGAAATCCCTCAAAAATGGATTTGCCATGTAAGATGGTGACTTCATACCAAGTACATAGTCAAAAGGCAAGAAAGCTGGGCCTCAAAGTCAAGTTTGCATGTTCATGTTCACAGCAAATTATTCACGATAGTTAAAACTGGAAACTACCCGACTCCATCCACAGAAGAATGGATGAACAAAATGTGGTATGAGATGGTATTTGGCCATCAAAGGAAGGGAAGGCAGAGTGGTGGCACATGCCTACAATACAACGCTCTAGAAGCAGAGGCAAACAACGTAAAAGTTCAAGAACAGTGTGGACTACATACTAAGATTGAGGCCAGCCTGAGCTACAAAAAGAAATCTTAAGAAGCCAAAAGAGAGAGGGAAGAGGGAAAGAAATTCTAAATAAACTTTAAGGACAATATGTTAAGTAAAATAGGCAAGACATAAAAGGACAATGATTGCAAC